ACTCCTTGTCAGCTGTTCCTACAGAAGCTAGATCTGCAGAGGGAACTTCCCACAGGGGAGAATGGCCACACCTGGGCTGCCTCCCAGACCTGCAGCATCTGCCTCTCTCATCACTCACCCCTAGAGTCATGGTAAGATCAGAATTCAGGTTCCACCTTTGCCGTTTGTTACTTGTGACACCTTGGGCAAGTACCTCTCTGAACTCAACTTTGCTCATCTGTAAACTGGGTGCTAATACATGCATTTGTCTTAGCTCACACAGTTCTCATGAGATCATATAAGATACAGAATGGAACAAGGTTCTGTACAGATGGGAGGTGACGAGTGATGCCTCTTGCCATTCTTACTAGGAGAAACCCTTCTCCTTTGGCCAGTCCGATCTCATTGTCTCCTTATGCCACATGCTCACTCCCAATGTTGCAGGATTTTGCTGGTTTGTTCTCCTTGCCCAGAATACTTTTTCCTCCTACTCCCTGTGTATTCTAATTCTGCCTACCCTTTGCAGGGTGTTCAGGGCTCATTACCTCTTACCATTACAATGAATAGCCTCCTAATTGGACTCCCTGCTTCCAGTCTCTTCCTTTCTCCAATTCTTCATCTACAAAGCTGCCATATTAATCTTCCAAAGGCTGACCACATCATTCACTTTCTCAAAAGCTTTTACTGGCTCCCTGTGGCTTCAAGGATAAAATATGAAACTTCCTAGCCTAGCATTTAAAACTCTCCATGATCTGGTTCCTATCTTTCTTTCCAAACTTATTTCAAAATTCTCTTTTTCATGCATTCCACATTCCACACGTGAACGTGAATGTGAATGTGAGCAACCTGCTGTTTCCCCCCGTTAAATGTCCCATCTCCTGCCTTTATTTCACATGAAGGTACTTTATATATTGGCACATGTTGTCTTCCCTTCCTGGAAGGTGTGCTTTCCTCTTGTCTGCCTCTAAAAATCTTTATTTTCCTTTGATGGTCAGCCTGGTATGCTCTGCCTCCCTCCCCACCCCCAGTTGTTAATATTCTTTCTTTCCTCAAATCATTTTGCATTAAATATCTGTATACATATGGCGTCCACTCCCATGCCCAGGGGAATGCAAGTTCCTTGAGAGCAGGTATTATTTTATTTTCATTTCCTGTAGTAGAATCAAGCTCTAGAGTTGGAAGGAACCCTAGAGATCATGTAGGCCAACCCCCTAAATTTTCAGATGAGAAAATGAGATCCAGAGGGCTTTAAGTGACCTGCCCAAAGTCACAGATGTAATGAATGGGTGAGATAGGAGTTGATTGAATATACTTGAATATACTGCCTCTGATTTCTTAATAAATATTAGATTAATTGTATCCTAAGGGTCCAACTCAAGGATAAAGCACCTCCACCAGTTGCTCTACTTCAGTTTTCCTAATTCTCATAAAATGGATTGTCCCTCGTTCTCATTTTGGCCCTTATCACTTACCACCCAGCAGGATCACATTATTTGCATGTCTGTCTGCTGTCTGTCTGTTTTGTCTATGATAAACTATGGGAAATCACAAGCGTCTAATGCTTTTACGTTTCCTAGCAGGTGCTCATTAAAAATTGTTGAAGAAGTATATGCAAGAAAGAAATGCTGTTTTTGTTTTCTTTAGGGGAATATAAGATAATTTGATTTCTTGAAAATGTCACGAATATTAAAAGAGGATCATACCATGTCAGGCAGGTACCAGGAAGAAGTTTTAAGTATTACAGCATTAAATGGTATTACAGGATGAAATAATATATGAACGAATAAATGAAAAGGGTTTTTATTAAATTCTTGCTAAGTTCCAGGTACTACTGTCTTTAGTCCTGGGGGATACTAATGCAGAAAGCACGACAGCCCTTTGCCTCAAAGAGTTTACGTTCTTCTAGGGGAAGACAGAGGGAAGTCGTGACTAGGGAAGGATGTTTTGGTCTAGGAAATCAAATGGCTGGTGCACGAAGTCATAGGACAAGAATACAAGCTATCTGTAAAGAAAGCATGCATTAAAATGTAACAAAAATAAATTAATTTTTTAAAAGAAGGTATGCATTGCCTAGAGTAAGTAGAAAATAAATTGTAAAAGGTAATGAGAATTATGCCAAGATTAAGGAAACATTATGAATGAAGGTGTGAAACTTTTATAACAATGGTGGAGTAAACAGAAAAGGAAGTATGTGTTAATTTGATTAGAATTTAGAAATAGTATTTTTAAAAAGGCAAGAAGACCAGAGATGAGAAGGTTACAAATAGTTAAGATGGAAAAGGACTGGCAGCTTAAATGAGCATTTAGAGCACGATTTAATTAGCCTGTCTCCTGATACAACCAAAGTGAATGTATTCATTTCAGTACCTTCATAAGGTGGTAGGCCATCACCTGAGATACATATGTGAAATGAGGTTCTCAGGACCACACACTCATCAAATTCAGGAGTTCTGGGTTCATTTCCTTAACCTTCCTTTCCACAGTGCCTCTTACATATTCAGGTTGTCTGTTGACCCTTTTCTGATGACTGTGAATATACAACCCCAAGCTTACTGTCCTCTTCTCAAAACAGACAATATTTCGCATTCGGGACCAGGTTTTATATGTGCTGATATTTAGATTTTAATTAGCACAAGCTTAGTGACTATTTTCAGAATGGCTCAGCTTCTAGCCATTAAATGAATTGTGGTTTCTCATAATTTGTTTTTTTTTTTTGTTTGTTTGTTTGTTCAGTCTGTGTAGAGCGTGAGTAAATTGTGCAGTCCCCCAAATAAAGATCAACCTGTCTACCAAGATGCCTGTTCTTAGATTTTTTCCCTTCAGGGAACCAAAATTCCTGCCACCTTGAAATTATTGACACCCCTCAAGGAATATGAAGGGCGATGTAAAAGCTGGGAAAGGGGGGAGAGTTGAAAGAACTTAATTTAGCTCTGCAGATAAATGGACAAAAAAGAGACGGGGGGTACTGGGCAGCAAAAGCTGAATCCTTGTCTCCAGGGGCCCACTGCACAACAGATGCAGGGACATGATAAATTTCATTGCAGCAGGGGAAATAGATCTTGATTCTCTACCCAGAAAGAAATGGGTTTCTCAGCGCTTCCCAGTTAAATAGCTTTGATTGTGTTGTCTGTCATAAAGTTAATGGCATCTGTTGAAGACATCACTATAAAATTTGCAACCTTCAGTTAGTTGAAAATTTTTTGTAGAATTGTAGCAAGTCTGAAAGTCCTCAAGGTAGCCCCAGATTCATCTCCCCTAATGTGTTAGTCCATTCTTTCTGCAGTTGGGTAGTAATTTTTACCCCTTTACAACCAGACACTAGCTTCAAACTGAAGTCTTGCATTGCTTATACCTAATTAGAGTTATAAATTTCATTAAGAAACCAGTAGTGTGGCAAATGTTTGGCTGTTAATAGCGGGACATTTTTTCTTTGGGTCCTTTTGCTTATATCAGAAAAAAAAAAAGATCAGATCTGTTTCAAGTTTTTTTTTTCTCTTTCTTTCGTCCTTTAAAAACAATTAAACTGATTCCATTTCCATCATGTCCTCAGATGGTTCAACCATTCTAATTAAATATGCAGAGAAAGACAGGGCCAAGCTGGAGTACCCCCGAACTTCCTCTCACCAGCTGCCTGCCAAGCTTTGTCAATGATCGGCAGCAGGTCGAGGCTAATATGAGAAAGTAACAAGCCCCCAGAGGAGGTGCCCTCCTTACAAGGAGCCATCACTGCTCCACATCACTTAGGAAAACGACAACTTCCCCATATCCTGATCTAACTGAGAAATGGAATGTGGTTTGGGAGGGTCTTGAATTTTTAAGGCTGCCTAACAATTCATAGTCTGTCTGGTAAAGATTAGAGGAATTTCAGAGAAAAAGCATTGACAAGACTTAATCTTATCCAAACATCAGTGGTTTTCAGAGTTTTTAAATAAAGATACATGCCCTCTTTGAGGTGGGGGCAGGGGAGGCAATTTAAGTGCCTACTATGTGCTAATCACACTGCTAAGAGTTATGTAAATAAAACCTCATTTGATCCTTACAACAACTCTAGCAGGTAGGTGCTATTATTATCCCCATTTTACAGGTGAGGCCACTGAGGGAGACAGAGGTTAAGTGAGTTGCCCAGGAGTCAATCAGCTAGTAGGTGTCTGAGGTAGAATTTGAATTCAGATCTTCTTGACTCCAGAACAAGTACTCTATCCATTGCACTACATAGCTACCATTTTAGAAATACTGACTGAAAATGTGTGTGTCTGTGTGTGTGTGTGTGTGTGAGAGAGAGAGAGAGAGAGATTCCAATTTATGCCAGCCCCTTTCTCCTCTTCTGGATACTACAAAGGAAGACACACACACACACACACACACACACACACACACACACACACTTCACATGGATAATTAATATTTATTGCTTGCCTTCTCAAGGGGTAGGGAAAGGACAGGAAAGAAAGAGAATTTGGAACTAAAAATTTTTTAAATGAATATTAATAATATTAATAATTTTTTAAAATTATATATATTATATATAATTTTAAAAGAAATACTCTGCCCTTTCTTCTTATGTGTTATTTTGATTTATTAACTATTTTAAGATCAGATATAACACATCTGCCCCTAAAATATTTGCCCATGATTACAAAGACCTATTTTAACAAAATAACATCTATCCTATTGTTCTAGTTGCCTTCTTAAACTAAAAACTTACCTTTGAAATATGATCTGTAAGACGTAAGGATTTTTGTGTTTATTATTTTGCAATATTCAACCTTTGAGGCTGATTAATAAATATTGATGAAGATGAAATAATTTGTTTATGCATATGCCTTCACTGGAAGTCTCATTTTTGCTTTTGTTTTTGCTCTTGTACTCCTGAACAATGTTATGAAAATAAATGGGATTACAGTTTTTTCCCCTCTGTGGTCTAGTTCCTTAAGAAACTGCAAGTGACAGAATGATACTGGAACCCTAAAATGATTCAAACAAAAAATCTTATTTTATTTTGTCTCTTTTCTTCTCAACAGGAAATAGTCCTCAAGATAGCCCAAGAAATTTCTCCCCTAGTGCCTCAGCCCACTTCTCCTTTGCACGAAGGTAGGCATGTGTGTATTTGTGTCTGTCTGCATGCGTGTCTGTTGGAAAACTGGATGTATAAAGTGGGGAGGAAATGATACTTGTACCTGGTCGAAATTTGACACACAAACCCATATTAAGTATTTTATGAATACTTTCTTTACCTAATCACCAAGGATTCCCACAAATAATGTGATCTTCATATGAACTTTAGTGATCTTGACCTTATCAATAAGAAGTTAATTGTTTATTTTTTGCTTGGATATTAGTCATCGCAAATATATCACCAGCAAAAGAAAACAGAAAACACTTACCCCTAAAACTTAACTCCTTTTAATTCTCCAATTAAAAGAAAAAAAATGCCTCCATATCCATACCACTTTTGCCTCCATAGCCAAATATTCTACTTAAAACTGGATTTGAGAACTAAATTAGCTGAATAATTGCTTCCTTTTTCTAAACCAAATTCAAATTTTTAAAAAGGTTAAATTCATATTTAGTAAAGCCTTTTAGATGTGAAAAAACAAAACAAAACATTGAACCAATAGGTTTCACTGGTGAGGAGAATTGGCATTTTTATCACCTTCTTTTACCAATGTAGTATCTTCCTCACTGCTCTTCATATCTTGGGAGCAGAAAGAACACAGTATATACTTGTCTTAAAGTAAAATCTGCCTAATTTTTAGGTTAACTTGTAGGTTTACTTTAGGAACTTTAAAGAAGGTATGCTAGTGAGTTAGTTAGATGAACCTTGTGATTTCCTGTAGAATATTCTTAGTGGAAATCCTCCACTAGGAAATAAAATAAAATGTCTACAAGTGGTGTTTAGGTGCCATAAAGATATTAATAAGCCCCATAAAAAGTGAGTCAGATTTTTCCCTTTTCTCCATTAGGATCATTTTCATTAGTTCTTCAGAATAGAGACCTAGGAGATTAAGAAAAATAATTAGTGCATTTTAGTATCTTTGAAAATAAAGGAAACATACTAAAGAGGTACAAATCTCATTACACTATGCAATTAAAACTAGTACAAATCATATTCTCTTAATCCTGGCTGACTTATAAAAGTGGAGAGTTCCTAATAATTAAGTGGGTGATTGAAGGACAGATGAATTTGGCTTCCTTGATAAAAAAATAAACATACAAAAGCCCCCAGGCATGTTAATTTTTGTCAAATAGACCATAAACCGTGACAGTGGATTATCACAGGAGAGCTCCAGTTCATTTCTGTGTAAATTTCCAGATGGAACTCCCTACACGCTCCTTCAAAAATTATTAATTTGGGTAGGGACATGAGTGATCATATATTTAACTCTAAAATCATGTTGGTCTCTACTTGTTTAATATCATGGGCTCTCTGTTGCTGAGAGTTGGTTTTCATGCAGGGAACATGGAAATTCCACACGTGGACCCCCATTCCATTTGTTGTACATTCCTGAACTGAAGGAGTAAAATAATTACTTTCTGAGCACATCTCATTTTGGCAATTAAAAAAATGTTTAGATATAAAATTAACATGAGTGAAATAACTAAATCTGAACATCCTTTTGGTTTTGGATAAAGGAAAAAAAGTTCAGTAGTAATGTTTCTGGACCTCGTATTAGTCATACACTGCATGCCAGAAGATGTTATTGATATGGTACCTTATTATAATTTCACATTGACTGATTTGAAAATTAGAAAGTCACATTATGATATATGACTGCTTTCAGAAGTAGCTGTTGGTATAAAAGTATTGAATCCATTTTGTTCATGATAAATTTTTTAAATGAAATTTGCAGCAAAAGGATTGACACAGGAAATGTGACTTAGTAGATTGAGTCTGGTGTCCAAGAATCACGTTCCCTTCAGTTCTAATTGTAGCTCTGCATGGGCTGGGTGACCTGACTAGAGTTACTTATCCTTTCTATTCCTTAGTTCCCTCATTTGTGAAATGGAGGTAATAACTCTGTCTTCCTTTTCAGAGAAGTTGTGGAGGTTAACTAACAATTGGAAATTGCTTTCAGTTTCATTGGAAACATACAGCATTGCGTAAATGCTAGCGGCTAAGGTCTTTCCTTACAGTCCAAGGTTTTATATATGCCAAGTTAAATCCCAGAGTACATTTTCATAAGCAAGTTGTAAAGTCTTGAAAAAAGTTTATAGTGGAACTGCAGATACAGCAAACTATGGCATTATTCACCGATCATAACAACCTTTCCTCAAGTGTAGCTTGGGAGGCTGTTTTTAGAGGGAAGTAGGGAATTAGAATGTCCTCTATTTAATTTAGATACAAAAAAGTTCCAAAGTGGATATTTATTATCCTGTGTACCTAAGGAAATATTGAAATTAAGCAAATTCTTTTTCTTCTTCAAAGGCTGGGTTAATATTTGGAGTTTTTTTTTTTCTCCTTTCTTTGTAGTAGAAAGAAAATTGTCCTTATATTTTTTCATCAGCATTGAAATGTTGGTGCTGGTTATTTTAGCCATTATATTTGCATCTCTTATTTCCAACAATTTTTTCCTTCTTTTTTTTTTCATTTAATTTAGTGCAAGGATAATGCTCGTATAGAAAAAGCCTCGTGAGTCAAGTTTTCTTCCTAGAATTTTATTGATAGCAACTAAAGGGAGAGAATGTTGAGTCAAACTAGTGGGTACCAAATGGCCTTTCTGTGTAATTATTCTTTAAAAAGGTTCTGTGTCTCCTAAGCATAGAAAGCCCCTTATGGTGTGTAATTGTCATGGTAATGAAAATGCAGTAATCCTTTTGTTTTCAACCTCATTCTACTAAAAAGACCCCCCAAAACTGAGATAACCAGACAAGGTACAAGTTATTCGTGATCCACAACTGCATTATGTACAATGCATGTTATCATTTTAACATGTTTCCAGTTGTATCTTTTGAGTAGTAAGCAAATGTAGTTTATTCTTCAGAACTAATAAGAACATATCTCTTAGAATTGTTCATTCATCTGAAAGATGCTCATTGATACCTGAGGGAAAGGAGAGATAATGAATCACACATGCACACAAAAATCATGGTGAGGGAAATGGTATTCCTCACTTTTTCCAGTGACTAGTTTATGATAATTGATATTAAATGGACTGAATAATTCTTCTTAATATCCTTTCTTTGATAAAATAAAAACTTGTAGGTGTTTTAGATATAAAGTACAGAAATAGAGGGTTTTTTTACATTTTTAATGACTAATCAAAGAAAACAATTTCCCCAGAAATTGTCTTTTCTATTTTTTGTTTGCATATCTCTTTTGAATATATAAATTTGATAATTTCATATTTAGTATCTGACTGTGAATTCAGTGATTTTAAAATATTTTGGGATAGGATAATAATAACAATGATTTAAATCCCATTTTACCAGTGTATTTACAAATGTTATTTTGCTTCTGTTCTTTAAACATTCTTGATTCAATTGTCCTCCAGTCATGGTCACAGAAATGACAGGTAAATTTTGTTTAAAACATATAGTCTGTGATGTACATCCATTTGAATTTTTCCATCTTGTCTCTACGAGCCATACAAGTCAACCACCAGTCATGCTGGCCTAATATAGCTGGAGCTTCATTTTAGGCCAGAATGTTCGTTTTTCATGCTAATAGTTAACTATGGCATTTTTCAAATTGAAGTCCAATCCTATTGAAGTTATTGACTTCCCTTCATTTGAACTATATGTGTAAGTGTAGACTCTAAATTTTCTTTGTGTTTATCTTTCTTTTTTTTTTAGTGGATTGATGCAATCATGGCTACAAATAAATTCTATTTTGAATAGTGATTCCAGTAGCCCTCTGTGAAATATACTTCCTTTTTTCTCATTTGTATCTTAGCCAATTGTCCTCAGTGAATTCTAATGTGTGTACACATATGTCTGTGTATGTGTGTGTTTTCATTTTGTTATCTAGTTGTTAACACAATTGTTTCTCGATTTACAGATAGAGACATGAATGCTTTCCCTTTCAAAGGTTTTAGGTTATATATTGCCTTAGTGTCTCCCATCCCCTCCTAAACAAGATTAGTTACCTTTTGTTATACTCCCTTACCTCAGACCCTTGGAATGACCTTCACTCTGTAGCTTGGCAGCCTCTCATCCTGCACTTAGCACATGAAAATAAAATCAAGCTTCCAAAAGACGCGGAAATTCTTCCATAAAGTTTTGGACACCTTTTATTTGGCACAATATAAAAAAAAACCTCTCCCATCTGCCTAGCACCCAGGTACTGTGATAGGCAGGAAATCTTCAGTTGTCAGCTGTCTATAAGGATAGCTGTTTGCTCATATTTTTAAAAAGGCTACAACTATTACATGTTGCGTGACTGGGTCATATGATTGATGCTGTAACTCTAAGTATTGCAGATTTTAAGGCCAGTTGCTTTCTTAGTGCTAAAACAATTAGCCACAAAGACCTGAACCACTGGGAAAACTCCCTGTGTCCATTCTTTTAAAGGTGTGTTTCATTTAAAAGCAAAATTTAAAATAAAAAAAACAACAACAGCTTACTCTTGAATTAGTGAACACAAAGCTTTTTATGCAACTGAATTCCACACAGACTGATGTAAGGTGCCAGTGACATAATTTAGATCCAAAGTCAATCCATCCTTCTAAAGAGCATGATTCCAGATTACCTGTTACCTGGTGGGTAACTTTACTTCTCATTAATTTGAATCTGCTAAGCCTAACAGTTATAATTATCCCTGGTATTCATTTTGTCAAACTATATTAGTGACAGATCAATAATATGGATCAGCCCATTCAGTTTCTACTTGTTTCAGCCTATTGATTCTGTTTAAATAAAAGTCAACCTGGTGCATAATGTTTGTTTACCCCAGCCGTTGGTGAGAGTTTGCCCATTCTCATACACCCTGTTGTGTATTATTTCATTCACTTTTCTAAAAATACTTGAGTTGCCCTGCGATTTCTATATGATAATACTCTAGTGTTCGCTTGCACTAAATTCAGTGTCTCAATAGGACTGATGGACGCCGCTGGTCTTTGGCCTCTCTCCCTTCTTCTGGCTATGGAACAAATACACCCAGTTCCACAGTATCTGTAAGTGTCTGATATTTTTCCCTCTTCCTAACACCTTAGAGGTATCATGCAGGTATTTTTTTCTTAAGGTGTTTCCAGCAGAAACTAATTTGTGTGTGTCTACCACTCAGGGTAGATTTTATATCAGATGATAGCCATGGCACATAAAACAAATATGCCTTTTTATTGCAAGCTTTTCCTTTGTGGTATCTAATAAGAAAGCCTAGTAACAGAAAACTTGCCTTTATAAGGTGATATTCCCTTTAACTTTAGCCTAGATTCCATAAAGATTTGAGGCAAGAGCTTCAAATTTGTCAAACTTTTAGTCATCTTTTACTTTAATTCTATGCCACTGGTATTAATGTAACTAGATAATTTCTTAGAAATTACCGGGATCATGTCAAGAAATCCTCTGCTTACTTCTTATGTCTCCCAAAGATGACATAAGGTTACGAAAAAAAATGACAAGAATTGAGCCTTGGGACCTATACATTTTATTTTGCAAGGTTCATCTGTGTTCCAGAGAGTTTAGAAAGCATGAACTGTGATGTGAGAGTCTTACTCTAAGGAGGAAGCTAAAAAGAACCTAGGAACAGAATAAAATGAACACATAAAAAGATCATGGTGGGAATAATGAAGGTCCATTGCACAGTGTTATAGAGTCATACTCCATCAAAGTCATATTGCAACAGAAAAGCCAGGCAAATATTGAAAACAATTTAACAGGGCAAGTAAATTCTTTCTGAGTTTTTCTCGTAAAGATGTGAAATATCTGTCATTGGAAATAAAGACTAGGCTATGCAGACATATTTGGAAGTGGTAGGCACACAATATGGTTCAATAAATGATTGATTTTTGGCAGTTTGAAGAGTTATGCACTGTGTTGAAGGATAAGAAGGTGACCTTGAGGCCACTTCCAAGCCTGTTTATTATGACCCCCTTTTCCTTATCCTTGGCACCAGATTGTCCACATTTGCTGATCATACAATAGTCCCCATAGTAAGTAGATAAAGTCCTATTGGTCACAGTAACCCAGCAGTTGGTATAACACAGGCATTGTTCTTATACGCTACTGACATTGTATGGTATATGTGTTCTCTTCAGAATATATTTTAAGCCTCTTTCCTTCCTTGTTCACTATGTTTCCTGTCGTAGTATCATGTGTCAGTGTCAAGAAAGGATGCACCTATTTTTCCATCCGTTACTCTGATACGACTTGGCATTGGCATCTAATTTATCATCTATCTCTTTTGAGAGCTATCTAGACAATTTCATTTGGTTTCCATCAGAAACTGAATGCACTATACATGAGCAAAGCATGATTTAAAAAAAAACTGAGTGACAACGGGTTTCCAGCTAATAGTAAGCAATCACAAAATTTTAGTGGGACCATTGTCGTTGGAAACTGAACGACATCATAGAAGTTGAAAATATAGAAACGTTCTTGTAGAAACACATTTTGAGTTGACTCCTCACCCCAAAAAAACCTGCCATTTTGTTCAAAATAACAAATAATTCCCAGATATCTGGACCATTGTAAGTTCACCCAGTATAATATTTTTGCCTTCTCAATGGGTGGGAGAAGGAGTAGAGGGAGAAAGAGGATTTGAAACTGAAAATAAAAATAAAAATAAAAATAATTATATCCTAGAAAAAATCAACTAAGCACTATAATCCAGATAATATAATAATTGTGGTATGATGCAATTTCTTTTGTGAGAAGAGTGGAAGAAAATGATCCATCTTTCCCTTACCCATATAGGGTTCAAAATATTCTTGAGATGAACCAGAGATAAAAAAACTGCACATAATCCTGGCACTTTGGAGTTGTGAGGGGGCTCTGGAGAGCACCATCTAGTCCAGTTCCATTCTTTCATAGAAGAAGAAACTAAGACAAAAAAATGAAGAGTCCATAGAGTCATAGAGAGAGTAGGAAGCTAGTACTAGAACCCATGTCTCCTGTTTCCTGGTCCAGTGATGCTTTCACCTTGCACTGGTTTGTTATGATCACCACATGTCTTATGATTTTACTGACAGATATGGGTGTAACTATACCCTGTCCCAAGCTATCTTCAATAAGCTTCCAAAGAAAGCACAACTATGAGCATCACTAGTGAAGCATTTATGTTTGGTTACACTAGCAACTTCTGACTGGCTGAAAGGAGTTTTTTCTTTTTTTTAATAAGTGTGAATTTTATTAAAGCAATTGATCCTAGAGTTCTTCTGTGTTGTTATGTATGTGTATGTGTTGTTTCACAACCAAATATTGGCCTTTAAAATTACTTCCTGCTTAAGGACCAAGGAGGCAACTTAATGTATGGGCTGTAACTGCTATTGTTTCACCAAAGCATCAGCATCTCAATTTACCCTGGGTATGAGTAATTAACAGGTACTAGAAATGCAGTGTCTTATCTTTCCACTGCCTTAAGTCTTTGAATGTCTTTTGAGATTTGGAAAATGATTAGTGGTTACATCTTCTGCCTTTATAATATAATTGTTTAATAAAAAATAGTTATGGAGAATGAGACTCAGTCCATATCCTCATGGATCCCACAGTGGCTTAAATGGCTAAATCACGAATAGAGATAATTATAATAATATTGATTGTGTTAGATGTATTCAATGGGTACAGAAATCCCCTGTAAAGATGGAGAGAGGGGAGGCATAGCCATGGTACAAGTTATCATAGCACAGATCAAATGAAGAAGTTTTCACAGAGGAGTGGGAGGGTATCATTTCAGTTGGGATTTAAAGAGTGAGGATTTAGTGTAACAGAAACACAGTGATCTGCATTGTGTACCTCTCATTGAGGGTAGCACTTTTCTGAATATATAAATTATTAATTAATATCCTTGATACTTTGATGGAGCCATGATTTGGGGTGGGATGGGTGTCTCCTCCAACAATTTAGGTCTCAATGTTTCCTTAAAAATCTGTCCTATTATATTCATACACTGTAACATTCACTTATATATTAATTAATCTAGTAACTCAAGTCATTTTTCAAAGGTAAGAGCTCAAGTAGAAGGAAAACTAGAGAAAGATAGGTAGAATATTAGTTTAGTATGTTAAGTAGCTAGTTTTTTTTTCCATTTGCTTAGTAGTGGCATGGCATAAATGCTGTCATATATATGTATGTATGTATGTATGTACACACATACATACATACACACCCCTCAGTTTTTCATTTGCTGGCAAAAGTAACGTATCATGTACCCTATTCCAAAAGACTGTTCTGTGGACTAGCAAATTAAAGAACCCTGTAAGGCATTTTGACCTTTTAGAGAATTGCTACAAAAATTCACGGAATGATCCCTGCAGCCATGCTTACAAATAGAGAGTGAGGGAGGCCTCTCTGATATGGTCAGTGGAGCATAGGTCGTCTCATGTTTGTCTGAGGGATTCTGTTTGGATACAGAGAGATAACCTAACTTTGCTGGTCTTGTTACAGTCTTCCTGTTCCTCCCAGGAGAAGTTGCATCAGTTACCATACCAACCAACACCTGATGAATTACACTTTTTGTCAAAACATTTCTGCACTGAAAGCATCGCCACTGAGAACAGATGCAGAAACACTCCAATGCGCCCCCGTTCTCGAAGTCTCAGGTGACTTGTAGCTGTTTTTTACTGGAAACTTATTCTTTTGAGTCAGCCGATTTCTCCTATGGTAGTGGTTCTCAAAGTATGGTCTGGAGATTGCGTAAGCCCTTTCAGGGGTCTTTGAGGTCAATTTTTATTTTGTTTTTTCCTTTAATTTGTATTATTTTTAATTTGTATTAATTTCTGATTTAGTAATAGATTGACACAACTCACATAAACAAAAATTCTTTGAGGGGGGATTCTCAATTTTTAAGAAAAGGGGTCTTGAGACCAAAAAGTTTGAGAATCTCTTTTCTAGCATCTACTTTTTTTTTAAGCTTTCTTTTTTTCTTAACTCCATTCTGCAACATGACTTGATTTCTTAATTATTATGAACGTGATGTTTGTTCACCTAAAATAATCCTGCAGTTATCATTGGAAGACATCTTCTTTTAGTCATCAGCATTCTGTTAGTAGTTATCACATAACACTCAAGACTTTCCCATAGTACCTTTAGTCATTGGAATTTTCAGGACAAGATAGATACAAATAACTGAATTATGTTTTCAAGAGCAGTTACCAGTCTTATTCTTCTTGCTTTTCAAGACTTCCTTGAAAACAAAAGTCAACTAGGCAAGATGATGCATGTCTATAATCCCTACTACTGGGGAGGCTGAGGCTGAGCTCCAGTGTGATGAGCTGCAGTGTGCTATAACTGATTGGATATCTGCATTAAATTCAGTACTAGGTTGCCTTAGGAGAGGCAAACCACCAGCCTAGATCAGAAATGTAATAAATCAAAGTTCTCATGCCAATCAAAGTGAAGTCAGGCTCTGTACTTCATCCTAAGTGAGACAGAGAGATCCAGTCTTTTAGAAAAGATGGGGAGGAAATAAGGAAGGAAGGGAGGGAAGGAAGGAAAGAATGAGTGAAGGAAAAGAGAGAAGAAGAAAGGAAGGAGGAAGGAAAGAAGGTAGGCAAGGTTAACAGAAGTGAAAGAAAGTATGCTCTTCCTTAGATACTTGGGATCTCACTGACATAGGCACACCTTCTCATCCTATGTAACTTCTCAGCATTCCTCTACCGAAGAGTTCCAAGGGCTTTCCTCTTGATCTCTTGGCTTTGCCTAGATAACCATGAAGCATCCTGGTTGTTCTTCAGCTATGTCTTGCTCTCACCACAAGAGTAGCCCATGTCCTTTCCAAGTAAACCATCCCTCTGATTATATCCTTTACCTACATAACAAGTTTAAATAAATAAAAATCACATTTTATATGTGACTCTTTAGTCAGAGTTGGGCCTCTGGACCTGTGATTTCATCAATGTGGGTCACTCCCTCCATCAATGCATATTTTCAGCTTTATTATCTTAGTACTTGAATGACTTCCCCAGGATCATATGACTAAAGGTAAAACTTGAACTCACATATTTCTGAATATGAAAAAAACAAATCTGTATCTACTATACTGGGAAACCTCTCATAGACAGAGCTTAAGGTTTCCTTATTTTAGACATCTCTTCCTTCTCCTGCTAATGAGATTCCCTTCCCATGTCAAAGTATCAGCTGATTTTTTTCTTCAAAATTTGATTCCTGTATTTTCTATGGGAACCAACTGGAATAAATAAACAAATAAATGAATGGATGAATAAGTGAATGAGTAAATGAATAGATAAATAAATATAACACTGAGTTTTGTAGGTTTCATTGAATGTTGTTTCAGCTTTAGTATGATCTGGTGGCTTAGACCCAAGCTCTGGCTAATCCTAAGGTTTCAGGAGCTGGAGCTACTTAAATTTATGTTCAACATCACTTCTTGGCTTCAGGAATTTTTCTCTTTTTAAAAAAATTGTTTTTATTTAATGAATGGAATCTCATAGTTAACAGTGCTGAAGCATTTATAAACCATATAATGCATAAGGATGTATTAAAAAAAATCCCTGAGGTCTCAAGGAAAGCCTATTTAATAGTAGCTAGCATTTATATAGTATTGTAAGGATTGCAGAGTATTTCACAAACATTATCTCATGATATCCTTGTAACAACCCTGGGAGGTAGGTGTGATTATTAGCCTATTTTTACTGATGAGAAAACTGAAGCAGACAGTCATTAAGTGACTTTGCCCAGGATCACACAGCTAGTTAAGTGTCTGAGGCCAGGTACAAACTCATGTCTTCCTGATTCCAGGCCCAGTACTCTCCATTATGCCATGTAGATGTATATGTCAATCCTCTGTGAGAGAAGTGTATATTCTACCAAATATTCCATGAGCACTATTGTTTGTTTAACAGAAATGTCCCAGATGTTTACTCTAGGAAGTACATGATGCTCACACCAATTAAATAGAAAATCTATATGCCTTTAAAAAAAAAACAACCATGGCAGACAGGTAGAAGATGGTAAACATATTATGGGAATAAGAAAACTACAGGATCCTAGAATTTCAGAACTGAAAGAGACCTCAGTGGCCACCTAGACCAACCCATACCTGAAAAAAAAAACTCCCTTCTGACATCACCAATCACTGTCTGCTTGAAGACCTCTAGGAAGGTTGAACCTGCTGTGTCCCAATGTAGCTCATTCTACTTTTGGACGGTTCTAATTGTTAGGAAATTCTTCCTGATTTCAAGACTAAATTTGCCTCTTTGCTGCTTCCCCTGATTGTTCTCAGCCCTGCCCCGGGGGACAAGGAGAACAAATCTAATCTCTCTTCCACATGGTAGTCTTTCAGATACTTGAAGACAACTAGCATCTCACCCCTTCCTTCCCCCGATTTGACCCCTTTTCAGAATGACCTTTTTTAAAGGTATAAAATAAAATACACAGGACTAGAGGGGAAACCAATTGTATTGGAGTAGTTACTAATATATACAAAATGTTCTGTTATCTAGGTTAAAACATCCCCAGTTCCTTGAAATGGTCATTATCTAGAATGAACTCACAGTTTTTCACTATCCTTATTAGACCATCTCCTCTGGTCTTCTCCAGATTCTCAGTGTCGCTCCTAAACTGTGATGCCCATAAGACTGCAGATATTTGACCAGGGCAAAGTATACCTGGACTCTCTCCTCTGTATTCTTGTAATCTATACCTCGCTCAATAAGATCTCATTAGCTGAATCTGGCTGAATCTTTATGCATCTTCCATGTTCAGTACTCAGTAGATTTGCCAATACATGGTGCCTCACTCAGCATCCCATGCAGATATATAGTTATTTCATGCATTTTGATGATTAAATAAATGGTTCAGTACTCAGCATGGGACACCTATGCTATGAAAGAAGTTTAAACCATTTTAGTGTTATGAGACAAACTGCGGGTTCCTGGTGTAAGCATGAAATAACAGCTACTTAAAGCAAGAGTTCCTAACCTTGGATCTGTGAATTTTTTTAATGTATTGATAACTATTCCAAAACAATTGGTTTCCCTTCTAGTCCTATGTATCTTATTTCATACCTTTAAAAAATGATTCTGAGAAGGGATACATGAGCTTCACCAGACTGCCAGAGGGATCCATGGCATAAAAAAGGCTAAGAACCCCTGACTTTGAAGGGTCCTGATGTTGTACCTTCTTCAAATATTAGTGACTAATTAGATTTAATAAAATAAATTTGTTTTAATTTTATTTTTAATTTATGGAACAAAACATAACTTTACACTAAGGTATATTTAGTTTTAGACATCATGGGTTGCTTCTCTTGAGTTCCTTTCACCAATATTATGACAAACAATAAAGCCCAGTTTAACCAGATAAAATTGCTGCTCCCTGTGTTGTGTTCTAATGTAAAGTTCTTTTGTGGAATCCCATCTTTTCTGTCTCTCATGTACTATTCAGTATTTTCATGTACTATTTAATGTGTGTATGTATACACACACACAAATGGCTGAGTCTGTAGTTTATTATGTAATCTGCTTTTGTAACAAAGGCTGCATAGTACTCTGCATGCAAACAGATTGTTTATAAATATGAAACCTCCTTTCATTACATGCTGTGACAAGTTTAAAAGGATAATGTGCTTCCCTTGCAGCCCTGGACGTTCTCCTGCCTGCTGTGACCATGAAATAATTATGATGAACCATGTCTACAAAGAAAGGTTCCCAAAGGTAATGAATTGTGTTTAAGATGCAAAGCATCTCTGCTAACAGGCAGCGTAGGTTTTAAGTATGTGTATGGTGGTTTTGTTATTGGAAGTAATGATCCAATCCAGTAATGAGTTACATAAAGCAGGCACCAAAGTCTTATTAGAAAGATAAAATCACTATAATTTTTTTTAAACTGCTGAGAACTGACCCTTCTCTCTTTAGGTATTACTGAACTGGTTCTAAAATTAATTTTTGCTGGTTATAGACAGTCTGGGAAGCTATTGTTTAGTAGTTTTTATTTAAAATCAGAAGTCTCTTCTGGTCCCTTCATGCTATCTGTGTTCTAGGAATAACTTGTTATGCCATGAGAAGCCCTCTCTTTTTTTTCTTCTTTTCACTCATAATCTCATAGGTTATCCATACATATAGGCAGAATGAGTTTTGGATTGCTTTCCTTTATTTTCTTCCCCTCCCTCTCCCCAACTCCATCTATTCTCCCAGCCTTCCCACTTCTCCACTCATTATGTTTTGAAAGGTAATTATTGACTTAGATCTGAAAGTGGAAAGTGTCATTTTGCTTCTTTAGCTCTTAGAGTGAGAGTTAGATCATCGTGAAGAGGAATGAAAAGCTAGGAGGATCTGTGGCATATTCCTCTCTTATCATTATCCTCATTCCCCAAACAATTTGGATTTTTGGGAAAAGGTGGAACCCTTAGAAAATTCTCCATTTTCCTCCCACTTCAACCCTCCCACCCTTGTAACCCCAAGGAAGGGAACAAAAGGAAACCTTTGGTTTCATAAATCAGGCGCAGAGTGCTTATTATTTTTAATGAGTTCAACATTGATGTCATTGATTAAAGCAGTTTGACCTATTTATCACATGTCAGCTGTTCAGCAGGAAAGTAGACATTGATTCTTCATAGAAACTATTTGCTTTATTGGGGAGAGACGTGGGCATTGAGGGGAAATAAATACCAGAGAAAGGGAGTACAGTGGGGATATCTTAGGCCAGGCATCCAGATTAGGCAGTAGGTGATTAGAAAGAATTGAATCAAGTTGGAAAATGAAATCCTAGAGGATTTACTAAGAGAATCTTCTTGTGCTTTTATATATGAAATAGGTTTCAGGGATGAGGGATGCAAAGATAATAAGAGAGGTGGTGTACCATGGTGGATATAGAGCTGGCCCCACAGACAGAGGACTTGGGTTTACCACCTCTGACACATGTGCAAGTCATTTAACTCATCAGTTCTCTAGACAACTCTTTCTAAGTCACAGAGAAGGTGCCAATACCTGCGCAGTTGAAAGGGGTTTCCTTGCCTGGAAGTTCTCTATAATAATGAAATCACCAGTCCCATCCCCTTCTCTATGACTGTCCCTTAAAACAATAATAACAAAGACTGTTGGGCATATTTGACAGACCATCTGGAGTAGGACCAGTGAAGGAATGAAGGCATCCCAGTGTTTGCACATTATTTGAGCTGTAGAAAGAAACTTACATAGGCCATTATTCATTTTCTGGGTTGCAAGCCAGGGAATATGAATGGTTAGCATTCCATGTTATTCAGCATTATTTACATGGTAGTATTTCTTATATTAATATCAATATTTGTTCTTAAAAATAACCAGAGGCTTCAGAAAGTGCTAGTTTATTGTGATAACATAATTGGGAATATACACATGCATGTTATATCATGCCTATTTTTTTTTCTTTCCTTCATTAAATAGGCTACAGCTCAGATGGAAGAACGTCTACAGGAAATTATCACCAACTATTCTCCTGATAACGTCCTCCCCCTGGCAGATGGAGTGCTTAGTTTCACCCACCATCAGATCATTGAACTGGCTCGAGATTGCTTGGATAAATCCCACCAGGGCCTCATCACCTCACGATACTTTCTCGAATTACAGCACAAATTAGATAAGTTGCTACAGGAGGTATGAACTGTGCATCGTACAGAGATAATTATCTTTTGCTGGAAAATTGTATGAGAACATTTGCTTAAAAGTTGGTGCAATGAAGTAGTGGAGGTTGCTGTCTTGAGGAAAAAGAAATAGATGGTGAAGTGCTATAAATTCATGCTGGTTGTTGTTTAATGTAATTAAAAAGTTAATGCAGTAACCTTTACAGAAACCTCAGGGCCCAACAACGTATAACTCCGGGATAAGTGGATTGTGAAGGATTTAGGAGCAGTCATTTTTTTTCCCCTAGTCTGCAAGTTATAAATTGCCTGTGTATGTGTGCATGCCTTTATGAAGCTATCTAGTACTAATATCTGAAAAGGGTAAATGGAAAAGTACCAGCTTCTTCCAAGCCATATGCCCTGTTAATTAACCTGCATGGTGTTGGGTAGCAAATGGCAAACCTTAAATTTTCACTAGTGTCAGCTCTTATTCTTTTAAAAAAAAACATTCTATTTCCAAAATGAAAGATAAAGAGAGGACCTGTCTGGGCCTAACATTTGCATGTATAACTCTTGATAACACCCCAGAAGTATATAGCACAAGGTGCAGAAGGGGATGGGGGGGAGGAAGAGAGTTGAATGGACTAAGTCCATAATAGAGTTCCTTTAACTAACTGAAGCAGATCAACCACAAATAAAAGCGGTAATCAAGCCTATTAGATGGATTTTGTCTAAACGTATTATGGGCGATGCAATGGCCCTGTCTTGACATCCCTTAAGGTTGTACTCTCAGTCCATTAGCATAAATATGTGCTAATAAGCACGATGAACAACCCCATCATAACTGAATCTTAGGGGAAATTTTTGGTGAGGTAGTGTGTTTATGCTAGGCCACATGTCAGCTCGCTACTAATGTATGCTTGACTTAACAGCAAGCAATAATCTAATCCTGTTGCAGTTTTTAATTGAAAGGACTAGTGAAAATAAGAAAAAAGAGCCTATGGAAATGACTTGCAATTCCTGTAGGGGCAATTGGGATTTTTTAAATGGCAAGCTTCTTGTTGGAAGGTATAAGTTAAAGCCAAAAATGCTGCCAGTAAGCCCTGTGACTGAGGCTTCCTTTGATTCCATTGCACTTTTTTTTCTTTTTCTTTTTTTTTTTTTGAATTTTTTTGGGGAGGGAGGCAATTGGGGTTAAGTGACTTATCCAGGGTCACACAGCTCATGAGTGTCGGAGACTGAATTTGAACTCACATCCTCCTGACTCCAGGGTATTTTATCCACTGTGCCACCAAGCTACCCCTTGAGCTTTTCCATAGTGTCCCCATTATTCCCAGATGGGTCCTATGTTTCCTATTTCAATCTCAGTATCCATCCATTGAACACGGGTACTTGGGCCTACTTGTACTGTGAAAAGAGAATGATCAGAAACCTTCCGACTCCTCACAGATTGTGTTCAGCTTTTATTCATCAAGGTGAGCTACAGTGATATTACCAGATGTGTTTTATACCAGTCAGTAAACATTTATTAAGCACCTACTATGTGCTAGGCATGGTGCTAAGAAGGGGATTAAAGAAAGGCAAAAAACAGACCCTTCCCTTGTGGGACTCACCGTCTAATTGGGTAGGCCACATACAAACAAATGATGCACTAACAAGCTATACACAAATTGGAAATCATTAACAGGGGAAGTCACTGGTATTAAAGGGGATCAGGAAAAGCTTTGTGTAGAAGATGGGTTTTATCTGGGACTTGAAGGAAGCCCGGAGGCAGAGATGAGGAGGGAGAGCATTCCAAGCATGAGGGACAGCCAGAAAAACTTACCCAGAGTCGGAAGATGTACCATCTTGTGTGAAGAACAGAAAAGAGGCCAGTGTCATTGGATCAGAGTAATGGGAAGAGGGAGTGCAAGGTATGAAGATGATAGGGAGCCACTGGAGTTTGCTGAGTGAGGGTGGAGAGTGTGACAGGGTCAGACCTGCACTTTAGGAACATCCCTTTGACAGCTGAGTAGAAGATGGACTGAGGTGATGAAGGCCTTAATGGAGGTGGTATCAGAGGAGAGAAAGGGACATAGCCAAAATATATTGCAGAGGTATAATTGACAGTCCTTTACAATAGATTGGATGTGGGTGGTAAAAGAGAGTGAGGAGTCAAGAATGATTCCCAAGTTTTGAGTCTGGGCAACTAGGAGTGGGAAGTTTGGAAGGGGGTAGAGTTTGGGGGAAGATAATACATTTAGTTTTGGACATGTTGAGTTTAAAATTCCAAGAGGTTGGAGATATAAGACTGGAGGTCAGCAGAAAGTTTAGGGCTGGATAAGGAGATTTAAGAATCATTAGCATAAAGATAATAATTGAATCCATAGGAGCTAACTAGATAACCAAGTGGAATAATATAGAGGGAGAAGAGCAGAGGACCCAGAACAGAACCCTGAGGTACACTCACAGTTAGTAGGCATGACCCGGATAAAGATCCAGTAAAGGAAACTTAGAGGGAAGGTTCAGATAGGTAAAAGGAGAACCAGGATAACCAATGTTCTGAAAACCTAGAGAGAAGAGAGTATCAATTAGGAGAAAGTGATCACCAGCATCAAAGGCTGCAGAGAGGTCGAGAAGGATAAGGATTGAGAAAAGGCCTTTGGACTCGGCAGTTGAGAGATTGTTAATAACTTTGGAGAGAGCAATTTTGGTTGAGTGTTGAAATTGGAAGCCAGACTGTAGAGTTAAGAAAAAAGTGAGAGGAAAGGAAGTGGAAGCACCCAGGTCTTCTGAAAAAGTTTAGCCACAAAATACAATAGAGATATAGCAGAGGATGGATGGAGCAAGTGAAGGTTTTCTGAGAATGGGAGAGACATGGGCATGTTTGTAGGCAATAAGGAAGCAGCCATTAGACAGGCAGAGAATGAAGTGTAAGAGTGGGTATGGTAGAGGGAAAAATCTTCTGGAGAAAATGGGATCGAATGGGATCACTTGTGCATGTAGAGAAACTTGTTTTGGCAATAGCGGGACCACCTCATCATGTGATACAGGGGTGAAGGAGGAGATAGTGACAGACAGCTTCTGGGTGATGTGAGAAGAGGAGGACGGGAGAGAAGGGACCTCTCGGCTATGACTTCAGTTTTGTTTTGTTTTCCAGTAAAATGTGAGGCAAGATTCTTAGCTGAGATGATGGGAGAAAGGGGAAGCCATGGGAAATTTGAGGAGGGATGGAAAGGTTTGGAGGATACTCTGCAGTGAGTGGGATAGAGATAATTAGAGAGGTACAAAAGGATTGCCTTGCAACTGTGAATGCCTAGTCAAATTATGTAACAAATTCATAGTAGACCCAGTCAGTCTGGTTTCATGATTTTCTCCTAATTTGTTTGGCAGCATGTGTGTGCCAATGGTCCCAGTGAAACTCATTACTTAAGTTTATTTTTTTTTTGTTTTTTTTTTCCCTCATGTGTCTGTCCGCCATACTCCTGCTAGCCTGTTTCACAGATTAATTTCTCTTTACCGTGGGTAAAGTCTGGAATGTTCTGAATTGGCATCATAATGGATGATGACCAAGTCATGTTAATTGGTTTATAGCAAGGTAATGCCTAACTATTTGGATAGAGACGAGTGTGTGTTTATAGCATGAAAATCATTCCTAGGCAATAAGAACATGATTTGTTCTTCACTGTAAGCTCCCTGAGTATAGAAATGGTTTTATTTTTGTGATGGTATTCCCAGCAGTTGCTTAATAAATGTTTGTTGATTTCTTGATTGATAGATTTCTTGTGCAATGCCCGTATCTCAACAGATAAACATTTCTATTCCCGGTTTTATTTTTCAACAGTTCAAACTCTCTTCAGAACCACATTTACCATAGGGCATCAACGAATGAGAATGCTAAAAATAAAACAAAACAGGCAAGGCTGGCAAAGGCACCCTCACCAGAGCTGAGTGCGGGAACATGGCTTTGGTTTTCTTGTAGTATGTTTATTGTTAGTTCCCAGCTGTGATAGATGTTCAAGGGATGGCAGAGTTTCCTATAGCCTCTTAGTGCATTGTGCCATTCTTTCGCATAACTCAGAAAAGTGTCCTCCTGGGCTTTGAGCAGTTTGATTTAGCTAATGCTTTTTTAAAGTTATGAGGTTGAGGTCAATTGAAACTGAATGCTTTTTGGATGTCTCAGTCCTCTTGCTTAGGTGTGTTTGTGAACAGAAGATATAACCTACTCTCAGATCTGGGTCAGAATTTTATTTTGACCAAGGCTTAAAATAGAACATGTTCATGGTATCTATTAGTGTTCTCGTTTAGTAGAACATTGCTGACAACCAGAATCAAATGTTTCTCTTCCCAATTGTAGTTCTCTTTCAAGTTGAATTTTTTTAAATCAAAGCTGGTATAATTTCTTTTCTCCTTTTTTTTCAATTGTAAAACTAGCAGATAAAATCTTCTTTGAGTAATGGCTTCTGTCTTTTTATTTTATATGATAATGATTGAAAGTAGAAAGGAAATTAATATGTATTTTTATAATTGTTATGATGGTGTTTCCATAACTTAAGCAATTTAATGAGATAAAACCTTTTTTTCTTCAGAATTTACCTTTTACCATGCAGAGCCCTTTTGAATGCTATTAATATTTCGTTCAGTTTTTCATGTTGTTCTTAGATACATAAAACAGTGATAGTATTGTATTAGATAGGAACCTCATTATGCAACTTCTATGGTCAATATAAAAAGAAAAGAGATTTTTAAAAAATATAAATGAATGGGGAAATGATTATTTTTGAGAAGGAAGAAAAAACACACATGGCTTCTTGGTATTCATTATGTCTCACAGCCTCTTGTCTTTATTGAAGATAAATGTTAGAAACTGTAAGTATAATTTAAATCTTTATAAAAGTCTCTCCCCATAGATGAAAAGAGTCTTAGAAAAGTTAGATATGATAGACCTCTGGAGAAAATTAAATGGGAACAGAAAGGAGTATACTTTTTTCTCAACTGTATATGGCATTGTCACAAAAATTAACCGTGTATTAGGGCATAAAAACCTTACAAACA